CTACTTACCCCTATGCCGGCTCGCGCACGACCCATCGATGTATTGGCCGGCCGTTTATCGCTGGTCGATAACACGCGACACGCACCTGCGCTATTTCTGTCCGCGAGAAACACCACGGCCGAGGTCGCTGCAATTGTTTTCGCGATTTTAGGAGCTGATCGGGGTTGAAAACGCGTCCGCGAAAACCTCACGCTTGGTAACGCGCTTGGAACTAGGGTTGAGAGCTGTTTTACTGCATTTGTACTTTTGGGCTTTTAGTTTCGACTTTTAGAGGTTTAGTTTCTTCAAAGTCATTGTTTCAATAAAATGCATATTCACAATTCAGTATGTAAAATATGCATCAAATTTCAATTATTACAAATCAACATCGTCAACATTAATTATAGATCACATCATCAACATCAATATGATCTGACATTTCTGGTGTATCCTTTGAGTCTGAATATACTTACATATGTCGTACACATACATCATATACATATGTATGATTCGTATATTTTTAATTTATCAACAAAGATAAAGTTATATCCAAAGAGATAAGAAAAGCACCATTTGTAACTGCAATTATTATAAATGATCATTAATATCAATGTGACCTAACATTTCTGGTGTATCATTTGAACCTGAATATATCTACAATGTGATACACATATGTACATCATACACGTTTCATAATGATGTACATCATGTACGTATATATTATTAATTCATTTACAAAGAGATAAGAATAGCACTGTTTGTAATTGCAGTTATAATAAATGACCTTTAACATCAATATGACCTAACATTGCTAGTCTATCATATGAACTTGTACATACCTATACCATATGGTCCAAATACATCATATATGTTTCGTACATTTTTAATTTATCCCCAACAAGAAAATACTGAGCACCATAGTGTACGATCACCGTGAACTTCGACATAAAAGGTTAGGTTCCGCGTGTTAACTGGTGGGTTAAAGTGGCGGAAATTAGGGTACCCGAATCCATATCTTCCATCGTTGTTCCTCTGGGTACCGGTAACGGCTGTCTTGCCGGCGACGTGCTTCCAATTTCAAGGTAAACCAAACCTGACGTTTCCATGCCGCTGGTTTTCATTAAGAAGCCAAACTGCAACCACACGTAACAGACTAGCCGTGTTTAGCATTCAGCCTCTGCTCTTGTTCCCTGCTTGCTTCTCTAAGCACCAGGTTTTCACCCTTCCATCGACCTTCTGCCAACCTTCCGTCCATGATAAAATATCACGGCCAATTGCCGTGCCAGTTCCTAAACGAGCGTTTTGTGCGTTTAACCTCACGAATGGCAAGTACTGGGTCACTGGAGACCCTCTAATCCATTTTGCAGTAAATATATTCGGCTGGGTCTGCAGCTGCGACGATTTAATACCCAGTTAAGGATCAATTATTTATCTTGTTTGAGACTTGGTGTTCGTGGTAAAATTTAAATGGAATTGAGAGGATGATATTTTAATACCTGAATCGATTTTCTATTTCTTGAGGTCATACTCATATCGGTTTTGTTATAAATTTAACTGAGATTAACAAGTTGGGGTTACATTTCAATTTTGTGGGTAGATTTCGTACTTCCTGAGCAGATTGTTCAAATTTGCTTAATCGTGATTGGATGAGTAGTGGAAGCGTGATGGTAGCCGTGGTGATTCGATGCTTGGTAATTCGATCGCATGGTTAATTGACGCGTGGTGAATTAACGCGAGGTAATACTACGCGTAGTAATTTGATCGCATGGTAATGCTATGCATAGTAATTTGACGCGTGGCAATTTGACACGCGGTGATACGACGCGTAGTAATTCGATCGCATGGTAATTCGATCGAGTGGTAATTCAATCGCATGGTAATTCGATGGCGTGGTAAATCGATCGCGTGGTAATTCCATCGCGTTATAATTCGATCGCGTGGTAATAATTCAATCGCGTGGTAATGCTACGCGTAGTAATTCAATCGCGTGGTAATGCTACGCGTAGTAATTCAATCGCGTGGTAATGCTACGCGTAGTAATTCAATCGCGTGGTAATGCTACGCGTAGTAATTCAATCGCGTGGTAATGCTACGCGTAGTAATTCAATCGCGTGGTAATGCTACGCGTAGTAATTCAATCGCGTGGTAATGCTACGCGTAGTAATTCAATCGCGTGGTAATGCTACGCGTAGTAATTCAATCGCGTGGTAATTTGACACGTGGTAATACGACGCATAGCAATTCGATCGCGTGGTAATTCAATCGCATGGTAATTCGATCGCGTGGTAGTTCGATCGCGTGGTAATTCGATAGCGTGGTAATTCGATCGTGTGGTAATACGACGCGTAGTAATTTGATCGCGTGGTGAATTGACGCATGGTAATTTGATCGCGTGGTGAATTGACACATGGTAATTCGATCGCATGGTGAATTAATGCATGGTCACTCGATCGCGTGGTAAATCGATCCGTGGTATTTCAATAGCGTAGTTATTCGATAGCGTAGATTCAGAGTAATTTTCACAGAGTAATTTTCAAACTGACTCCTAAATTTTCAAATAAAAAACTAAGAAAGCTTGTAAACTAAAAAATCTGAAAGTACATAAATGCACGCAACCGTAATGATACAATTTGACAACTATACCTATTTTTTCACCGATTTTATTTTCACAGCACTTTAAATCTAACCACGTACAGATCAAGTTCAAGGATGATTAACGTCCCTGGTTGAGAAGTTACGGTCGAAGGAGCAGACGAAGAGAAAGGTATAGGTTTAAACATAGCTACCTGGGTCACGATTAAACCAATAACTATTAATCGACGTGCTACCGCACATTCAGCAAAGTCGGCGCCACCCCTCGCGGTACTTGATGCATGCTGCTTCGAGTTTACGAATCGAACGGAGGGATGGTGGTTAGAGGGAGGGTGAGTTGTAGGGTGGCTACGAGGGGCGTGTTTCGCGTGAGACCGGGGAAATTCGCGTGGATGGTGGCGATGAATTTTAATGAGAGAACGATGGACGTTGGTGGGTTTGGTGCGATAGCGACTCGAATGGTTAAGATGTTTGTTTTATTAGACCCACGGTATCGAAGATCGGTGAATAATAATATTCCGTAGAAATTCATGGGGTTAATTATAGTCGGTGTGATATAGGGGTGCAGTGCGAGATAGGGGATTGATAAAAAAAACCCTATTTCCAATATATGTATCTAGTAATTAAGTACTGCGTTGTGCATGTTCACTATTTTAAATAAAATAGTCTTATTGTTAATAGTTTTCTAGTTCTCAAATATTTATTATTAAGGCTCTCAAGGTTTTTAGAGGCCAAAAGTTTACTCCTTTATTTATAAATTTTTTAAATAAAATTTAAAGTAGTTAGAGTATAACGAGTTGAAGTATGATTGATCCAATGCTTAAGAGATGCAAGAACTAATTTTTAATGCTCAAAAAGTGCAACTAATTTCTAACCTATAAATATCGCAATGACTAACATCCCCATTCATGAAAATTCTAAGAAATGTAAAAGAACCATGACGCAAGTAACATTTCCAGAATTGGCGCACGTAGTACAAGTGTACGTTTGACGTTTCTCCTTTTTGATCCAGCAAACTGCGCCCGTAGGTATTGGAGCCGAAGATATACGGGGAACGAATATCCAGAAGGGGCGGTCTAGAATTCTGGACTCTGTCCGAGCTATCGTAATGCCAGAACTGTCTTTCTCTCTTGCTCCGCTTGTATGGAGTGACAAACGTGCTTCCTCTAGGACTTGGTGACCGATGGGACTCGAGATATAAACCACTGATCGGGATAGGGTTGTTCTCCAAAGGGGTAGACAACAATGCTTCGAATCGTAACATTTGATAGAGGGTGAACGCTGCTGGTGTAGCTCTTTGTCGAAGACGACTCATACTGTTACGATGTAATTTCTCGATTCATGATAGATTCAATTATTTTTCAATTAGGAATGGTTAGTCGGTTGCGGGTAACTGCGATGATATTGTAGATAGTTGGAGATTCATGGGTTCATTTTCTAGGATTCTTGGATTGAGGTAGAAATTCCTAGATTGATTTATAGGTACATTGATCCATAGGTAGCTTCGTCCATGGATACCTTGATCCATAGATAGCTCGATCCACAAGTAGCTTGATCGACAAGTAGCTTGATCCACAAGTAGCTTGATCGACAAGTAGCTTGATCCATAAGTAGCTTGATCCACAAGTAGCTTGATCCATAGGTATCTTGATATAATAAATACCTTGATTCAAAGATACTTTAATGTATGGACACCTTGATCAATGTATACCTTGATATATAAACTCGTATCCATAAACCATATATTCATATGTATACGCATCATATGTTCATACACTAAATCTCTCAACTCCCATATCCCCAAACCTTCAAATCCCTATACATACCCCTATATCCCTATATTCTCAGGTTCCTAAGTCTCCATATTCCAAGATCCACATATCCTTACACACCCAGATCTCCACCCAAAATTTCCACATCCCTACATCCACATATTCCCATATTTTTGCCCAAACTCCTCCAACATGTCTCCACACAGACCTCGAACTTCTGAAGTCAAACATTGCAATTTTAACTTGAAACGATACCTTGATTTTAACTTGAAGTACTTATATCAATATCGAAATATTCTTAAGCAGTACCACAAACGTTTAACGTACCTCATGAATAAATGGTAATTTTGTTTATACCGAGCGGATAAATTCGATATCCTGGCTGGTAACGAGGGAAGAAAATTTTGACGAGGGTCCGCGGTAACACGTAAAATCATGAGCAAAGGAATGGCCGTTAGCTCAAAACGTAAGGCACAGAGACAAGAGAGACACGCGAGATTCGCCGCTAACGAAACTAATTTCATTGTCGTCCACTTATTAAGATCAAGACAGGGAAACTCGTCGACCGGTCTCGCCTGTTCGGCGTTCAGTTGCATAAGGAGCAACGTGCCGGCGTCTCCGGTTAACAATTTACTTACAAAGCGTCAATTTACTCACCGTGGCTGCCATGGAGAGATGAGGGGCGGCTTGGACGGCGGGTTCTGAGGCTTCACTAAGCGAGCCATAGCCGACCGGAAGCTGGCCTGCCTTTTGACATCCTGTAACAGACACCGTTTACGCGTTTTCGTTTGATTCAAAACACAGTTTTCGAGGGACCCTTCGGGTATTTTGAGATCGACTTTGGCGAGATAATTTTTGGTATACTTGACAAATATTATGTCCTTATATCATATTTCATTAAGTCATATTTCATTATCACATCGATATGAACTTATAAGAATAATATCACGAAATAACACTTGGTTTACGTAAATTTAAAACTTACAGTTTTATAGAATGTCTGTACAATACTTTCAGTGGTATATGAATATGTGTATTATGAAATACAAAATGGCGGACTGGACAATTAGAGCAAACAATGACAAACTTGAATACACTAAAAGTTTAACTTAACAATGCTTCAACTTAATAACATAAAAATATTGTAAATTATTTACACTTATTTTGTATCAAATTAAAGCTTGATTGCTAGAAAATATCTGTGATAGATAACAAGTATATTCACGTTAAAAAAATTGTGTATACTTTATAAAAAATAATATGATAAATTTTATGAGCGCAATAAAGTGACAAATTTTGGGAAAAACTTATTTCTTGAAACATACCGATAAATCTAGTCGTTTTACTTTGCCACCACATTCATTAAAGTGTATGACCACTTACGTTTATCATTCTAATGGCTCTAGAAGAGTGCAACTTTTGCTGTGACCTACTTTGAGACCCTCCCGTGACCTACATTTAGGTACTCCTTACAAACTACATTCTGAAGCCATCTGAATTAAATGAACGGCTGAAAGTGACTGAATTTAATGAACCGGTTTACATATAACACTTTCAGAATGATGTAGAGTACAAGTATTAAAGAAGACCGTATATCAAATTCGTATTACAAGGTGAAGCGTTTCAGTGATGCATTTTTCTGGATATGAGGAATAGGGAAATAGGTTTTGTATTAAATTATTGTACTAGTTTCCCAAATTTCCCGAACTTCCCAAATTCCCAAATTTCCTAAATTTCCTGTTTCTCAAGTTTTCAAAATTTCCAGAATTTCCCAAATTCCCAAATTTCCCATTTTTCCAAGTTTCCCAAATTTTTCACATTTCCCAAATTCTTAAATTTGCGAATTCCCAAATTTCTAAAATTTCCGAAATTCCCAAGTTTCCAAAGTTTCCTAAATTTTCCAAACATCCCAAATTTCTCAAGTTTCCCAAATTTCCCAAATTCTCAAATTTGCAAATTCCCAAATTTCTAAAATTTCCCAAATTCCCAAGATTCCCAAACTTCCTAAATTTCCTAAATTCCCAAATTTCAAAATTTCCTGATCTTCCCAAATTTCAAAATTTCCTGATCTTCCCAAATTTCCTAAATTTCCCAAATTTCCCAAATTCCCAAATTTCCCAATTCTCAAATTTGTAAATTCCCAAACTTCTAAAATTTCCCAAATTCCCAAATTCCTAAATTTCCCAATTCTCAAATTTGTAAATTCCTAAATTTCCAAAATTTCCCAAATTTCCCAAATTTCCCAAATATTCAAAATTTCCCAGATTTCCCAAATTTCCCAAATTTCAAAAACTTCCTAAATTTACAAAATTCCCAAATTTCCTAAATTTGCCAAGTTTACCAAAATTCTGAATTTGAAATTTTTCAAATTTCCGATCTTTTCCTAAATTTCCAAATGCCTAAATTCTCCAATCCTCTGATCTCTAAACTCACAAACCCTCAAATACATAAATTCCCCAAATCCCTAAATTCCAAAACCTCTAAATCTAACATCATTAAACACGAAACTACCAAATGACAAATTACTCCGAATATCAAAATATTTGCCTAACCTACAACAGTAATAACAGAAGTATTTCCTGTCTCCATAGTTGTAGCACAGGTAAAAACGCCGAAAAGACTCGTTCTCGGCTAATTACCCTAGCGAAGCTGAAATTCAATAAGCCCGATTTTCACGCACAGGGCGTGGATTCAATTAAAACGTCAACGAAGGAAGGACTAAATTCGCGACTGTTCCATTTTCCTCGTCGTCCTTCGTAGCCGTACCACTCGAACGAAGACGTAATTCTTTTAATTACTGGCTGGCTTAAAATACAGACCCTGTTAGCGCGCGAGAGAACCGACGAGGCAACAATGGCGAGCAAGACAGAGAAAGAGAGAACACTTTAGCGAGGCTTCAAATTAAAACGCGTAATTACGCTCGACGAATTTACTTGCAATTAATTTACGATTACCTTTCAAGTCGTTCCCGCAACTTGCTCCAACATCTTCAACGTTTCGTTCGCAAATCAAGTTTCCAAATTTCATTTCGATCGGAATACTACAGAGACGGAGATTTCATGGTGTACTATAGAAAGGGAGAAAGAAAAATTAATGGGTAATAATTCGGAAATGTGGGAAGGTTGATGTTTGAGGATATTTGGAATTTTAGAAATTTTTTATATTAAGAATCTTGCAAAATTTAGGTTAATTGTAGACTTGAGTATCCTGCAAAATTTAGGTTAATTGTTGACTTGTGAATTTTGGAAAAATTTGAATAATTGTTGACTTGAAAATTTTGAATAGTTATTGACTTGAGTACTTTAGAAATTTATAAAAGTTGATAAACGCAAGATGTTCAGAAAGCAAATGGGATTAATAATTAAAAAATTTACAAAAATTACGCGAGATAATTTCATCGCGTGGAAATTTAATCGCGTGGTGATTTGACGCGTGGTAATTCGGTCGATGGTAATTCGATCCCGTGGTAATTCGGTCGCTTGGTAATTCGATCGCGTGGTAATTCGATTACGTGGTAATTTGGTCGCGTAGTAATTCGGTCGCTTGATAATTCGATTGCATGGTAATTCGATAGCGTGGTAACTCGGTCGCTTGGTAATTCGGTCGCTTGGTAATTCGATAGCGTGGTAACTCGGTCGCTTGGTAATTCGATCGCGTGATAATTCGATCACGTGGTAACTCGGTCGATGGTAATTCGATTGCGTGGTAATTCGGTCGCTTGGTAATTCGATCGCGTGGTAATTTGATCACGTTGTAATTCGGTCGCTTGGTAATTGAATCGCGAAGTAATTCGGTCGCTTAGTAATTCGATCGGGTAGTAATTCGATCGCGTGGTAATACGACGCGTAGTAATTCGATCGCGTGGTGAATTGACGCGTGGTAATTTGATCGCGTGGTGATTTGACGCGTGGTAGTACGACGCGTAGTAATTCGATCGCGTGGTGAATTAACGCGTAGTAATTCGATCGCGTGGTGAATTGACGCGTGGTAATTCGATCACGTGGTAATACGACGCGTGGTGATTTGAAGCGTGGTAATTCGATCGCGTGGTAATACGACGCGTAGTATTTCGATCGTGTGGTGAACTGACGAGTGGTAATTCGATCGCATGGTGAATTGACGCGTGGTAATTTGATCGCTTGGTGTTCTAAAAAAATTTAGAAACCAAACTTGCAAACTTAACATACCAGAATCCAGAAAATTATAAAATTGAAAATATTTAAATACACGATCCCCAAAAATTGACATGAAATATAAAGTGATCCACATCCACCTCTTTATCCTGAAGCCTACTTTGCACTCGAGTATACTCAGGAGAACGTTAACGAGAAAATCATAGGAGGTAATTAATCGTCGGGCTGTTGGTTTAATAGCGGTCGGGGATAAATAGTAAATAGGCATCACCGAAAAAGATGTAATCTTAAATCCAGTTTGTCCACGAGCTGACGAAGTTGCGGTGAATGTTAGCGTATAAGCTGAAGTTCTATCTGGCTCGTCAAAACTTGATACACCGTTCACGGCCAATCAAACTTTGAGCTCTGGTAATCCTGAAGCCAAATATTCCGCTTGCACGTTATCCGCTGATGGCTGAGACCGTACGTTTTCTCAGCCATCATGGCGTTAATACTTTCAGCTTCTCTAATACTATGTTTGAAAGCACACATCTCTGTGCAAATTCAGGGTAGTGCGATCGTGAAATCGTGGAGGGAAAAATTAAATTGACGCTTTAAAATTAAATTATTTTATCTTTACTATAAAATTATTTATTAGGAACTATTGTTAGTAACTATTAGTACTATATAACGGGTTTTATTAAAAATTTATGAGTGATACGTGTATAGATATTTACTATGATCGATCATATATTAGAATCACTTAAGATATTCACTAGGTTCATAGGTCTCAGTTTATGTTCCTTTCATGGTATAGAATAACTTATGACAACACATTGCTGATTTTTGTAAGATCTCAGCAAATCTAGATGAGTGAAAATATGTTTTTTTTTAAACATTAGTGAAGGTAATATTGGAATTTGAGAATTTATGAGGATTTTTGATTTGGAAATTCGAGGAAACATATTTGGAGAGTTTCAAATTATAAACTTGAGAATTTGGAAGTTTTCAGCCTTTGGAAATTTGAGGAAAAGTGATGTGCTCTTCTCTATGTACAATAGGGTCGCGTGAACTGATCGCCGTTCACATCCCAACGCGATCAGTTACGGTGAGAGGTGTCAGTTTTCGAGAAACCAAATAAACATTGTGCAACCATTGCGATCAATATAACCGCATTCAGTACCGTGTATCAATGTATATATTTTGTATATATTATAAATTTGTAAATAAATATTGTATACCATACGTACGGTTTGTAAGTTGTCAACATAAAAACCACTGTGCGGTGTTCTTTGTTCCCCAACTTCGCACCCTAGGAACTTAGAAATAGATACATACTCGAACATCTTTCAGTTTGAAGAGTATAATTAAACCACCACAAGTTTCACGAACTTATGATATCCTACGCTCAATTACGAAGGGATTACACCGCTCAGTTAAGGCGACTTCATAAATAACCGAATATTTCGGATGAAAAATCGGGACTATCACGAGTGTATACCGATTAGAGGCGACTTCTTCAATAATTACCGAATGTTCAGTATAACATTGCGAGATGATCGCGAGTCCATCAAGCAGTCGCGACCATTTCGGGGTTCCAAGGGAAGCATCGTTCCGCTCTGCTTCTTCCCCGCAGGAACCCCCTT